ACCTACTGTGTGATCCTAACCAAACGGCAACAAAGAGAAGACCAACACACAAAGAGAGAGAATGAACAGTCGAGTCAGGGCACAGGGAGTGGAGGAGGAGAGGGTGAGTGGATGGGGCACCGAGGAACATCCAGGATGGGGACATTATTATATATGGTACTGTCCTGATGGAAACTGATAACACACAAATGTTAGTCAGACCCTATAGAGACTTCAAGCAGTGGCCCTAAGCATTGTGTGTAAATTAATAAGGACATAGCAGTGAGGAGATTGGTGTCCTGAGTAAGGGCTGACTGTGAAAGGGGAGTCTAGTCATATGAAAGCATGAAGCATCCTCACTGTACTGTGCAGGAGGGCCTTGGGACAGAGTACTGAGTTCTTCAAATGTAACCCAGGAAATGAGTGGAGTCTGTAAGTCCCCATAGACCAAGATTTTCAAAACAAGGGTAGCACACCTGACTCATGGAATATAATTCTCAACACTCACAGATTTCAACTCTCTACAAATTGATCTAAAGATTTCCCACCGTCCTAACAAAACCCCAAGAGGCTTTATTATAGATTCAGAGCAGTAACTTCTCAAACTTTACAGAAAGGCAAAGGGTCTGAAAAGGCCCAAATATTTCACAAAGACAATAAAAGTTGGAGAAGTTGTACTGACAGATTTCAAGATGTACTGTACTCTTTCAGTAATTGCAATATTGAATTTTGATTGTTGGCTCAAGTGCATTTAGAATCACTTAGGAGACACAACTCTGTATGAAAGTCCTTCCAGAGAGGTTCAGCTGAGGAGGAAAGACCCACCCTGAATGTGATTGGCATTAACCCATGGGTTGGGGTCTCAGAGTGAACAAAAAGGAGAATGTAGCTGCAAGTTTTCCTGTGTCCTGCCTGGCCTATGGCAAGGACAAATCTTTCCCACTTGCATCCCCCAAGTAAACACACAGAGGCATATATTAATTAAAACTGCTTGGCCATTAGCTCAGGCTTACTACTGATTAGCTTTTACACTTAAGCTCAGCCCATTTCTGTTAATCTATATGTCACCACATGTTCCATGGCTTTACCTGTGTGCCATTACATGCTGCTCCCTGGACAGTGGGCTGGTGTCTCCTGACTCAGCCTTCCTCTTCCCAGAATTCTTCTTGTCTGCTTATCCTGCCTATACTTCCTGCCTGGCTGCTGGCCAGTCAGTGTTTTATTAAACCAGTGTGCAAAAGCATTATTCCACAGAAGGAGAAAGCCCAGCTGAGCACCGGCATCCATCTCTTTCTGCTTCCTGACTACAGATGCAATGTGACAACTGACACACTTCTGCTGCTACAGCTAGGGATTGCACACAACCCCACACCAGCCCCATCACAATGAACTGCATCCTCAGCCCGTGGACCAGAACAAATCCTTCCTGTCTTAATGAGCTTTTGACACAACAATGAGAAAAAGATGCTCCTGTGAAATGAGTTTGTAGGAGGAATGTGGAAAAAAAATTTGGAACTTTGGGTTGGGAAAGCCTGAAAATGGTGTAGGTAGAACTTAATGGGCCATTCAGACCTGGAGCTGGGGAGACTAGAAGGCCGAAGGAAATGTGGACAGTGGAGGCCTGGCTCGTGTAGGTTCAGAGGGAGCTCAGCTGGGAACTGGGCTAGGGAGCATTTGTGCTATGCTCCAGCAAGGAATCTAAGTGCATTCTGTTCATGTCCTAAAATCTGGAGTGAGGCTGAGTTAAAAAGTAATTAAGTTTCTCGGTGAATGAAATGACAAGACAGGGTAATATCTAGGCTGTAGCATGGTTACTGCTTGCTGCTCTTAGATTTATAGTGAGGGAAAGAAGAAAACTGCAGTTTGCTCAAGAAAGAGGCTCAGTGAGGGTAAAGTTCTGGATAATGTTAATTGCTAGAGATCACTCCATTACAAAGAAACCTCACACACTGGGATGAGATGGTAAGAAAGGTTCTTGGAGGGCAAGACCGACCACAGAGCACCAGCTTGTAACAATGCAGTTGTGTGTGAAAGAAGAGGAACCTTCCCCAGCAATGATACCACAGGGGTCCTGTCTCAAAAAATAAAACAAAACAAACAACCAACAGCAACAACAGCAGCCCCCCTCCTCCCAACCCAAGGAAGTGCATTCTCAATGCTTAGCTTCTAAGACCACAAGACTATGGGGACCTTGAGAGTCAGAATGAATGAATTTTGCGTTATGAGATTCTACAGGTCCATGGGAGTCAGGGGTAGAACGTTTGTGTTTTAAAGCGGTGTGTTTCGGTCTCAAGTTGACGAGATGGACTTGAAATGACTGACTTCAGTGTCCACTTGTCTAGATTTAGTCTCACCTAGCAGACACTGTGAGGGCACTTCTGGAGACATGTACCTGAGGAGGGAGGGGCTGTCTCAACGTGGGCAGCAGCATCTTCCAGGCTAAGATCCTGGACCGAATGAAAAAGGAACCAGAAAAAAGTCAGCTGATGACCAACATCCACCTCTCTACTGTTTCCTCACCAGGGACACAGTGAGGACCAAACACCTCACTTTGTCCTGTTCCACAGCTGCAGCCGCACTTACTGCCACACCGCCTTTACCTGCTCTGCCGAGCTCCACCTGTGAGTCTGAACCAGGACCGACTCTTCCTCCCTTAAGTGACTTCTGTCACAGCAACTAGGAATGTCACTAATGTCAAGCACACAAAGGAACACACACCCTGATTGACAGAGTGGGACAGAGACTTCTAAAATAGACTCACACACAGAAAAATAGATTTTTTTTGTGTGTGTATGTCTAAGACCGTGCATGTGTGGGTGTGTATAATGTGTTCGTGTGTGTATGAGTACAGGTGTACACACGCCCTGGCATGTGTGCAGAGGTCAGAAAACAACATTGGGTGTCAAACTGTCAACCGTTTGAGACAAAGTCACTTTGTTGCTCACCACCGTGTACAACAGGCTGGCTGACCTGTGACCTTCCAGGGATTCTGCTTCCGCCACAGATGGCAGATACCTAACTACTGCACCTACCTTTTATGTGGGTTCTGGGGTTTCAAAGTCAGGTACATTTGTGTGACAAGCACTTAGACACCAAGCCATCTCCCAACCACATTAAAAACAGTGTTTTGGATGAAGATCTCCATTTTGACCGAGAAACAATGGCATTTGCAAGAAGTGGTGGGACATTTGGTTACTCACTGACACAGAGTTCAATTCTCTAAATCTCACGCCTTGTTAAAAATTAACTTAAAATACATCACATATCTAAGTGCAAAACATCAAACCAGAACAGTTTAGAATAAAATACAAGATGAATCTCTGTGGCTCAGGGTAGGCAAGCAGCTTTGAGTCATGGTACCAAAAGCACAATCCATTAGAAAACTGGACTTTATTTATGATTTTTTTTTAAGGAAAAAAAATGTTCTGTGGAAGTTGGTGTCAAAAAGACTAGTTACAAACTGGGAGAAAATACTTGAAAGTGATATATCTAACAAAGGAGTCATATCTAGAATATATGAAGAACCCTCTGAGCCAACAGTAAGGTAACAAATTACCCAATTAAAAGTAGGAAAATGTTAAAAACATTTAACATTTTTCAGAAAGATATATGCATTGGTCAGAAAACACACAAAAGATACTCAACCCAACTAGCCATTAGGGAATTGTAAGTGTAAAACACCAAGAGATACTGTGACGTGTCTACTAGAACGATCACAATACAACACAGATAGGAGCTGGAGGATAGCTTAGTGGGTAAGAGCACTGGCTGCTTTTCCAGAGGATCTGGGTTCGATTCCCACTACCCAGATGTGACTTACAGTGGTCTGTAACTCCAGTCTCAGGGGTTCTGATGCCATCTTCTGACCTCTGTGGGCAATCCACGCACATAGTACACATACATATAGGCAAACACCCATACACATAAAAGTAAATTCATTTTTAAAAGTCCCGATACTTTTGGCTGTGAAGATGGTCCAGTGAGTCAAGTATTTGCCTTGTAAGCATGAGGACCTGAAGATAGCTGGGTATTCTGGAACTCTTAGAACCTCAAATGTTGGGGAGGTAGAGACAGGTAGATGACCCCTGGGGCTACATAGCCAGATGGCTGGCTTCTCAGGACAGTAAGACACCTCTGTCTCAATAAAAAATGGTGACCGCACCTGAGAAATGGCAACCAAGGTTGTCCTCTGGCCTGGGTGCTCCCCACCCTCTTGCTCCCCTTACACATACACATATGCACACATGTGTGCACAGATACATACACAAAACCAAGTAGGTGAACTGAGATGCATTCACACCATGGAGCACGACTCCACTAACCAGTTAAAATGTATGCTGCGGACACGTGCAAAGCTCGGAGACATCTCAAAGCATCAGAGTCAAAGGAGGCAAGCTCAAAAGGTGAAACACTGTCTGGCTCCGGGGTTGTGAGTGTGTAAAGACACAAAACCCCACTGAAGGAAAACAAGAGTGAGGGGGTGCTAGTGCCAGTCCCCTCTGAATGGGAGACAGTGGTGGCTGCAGAACCTGGCATGCATTCAAATCCACACAACTGCCTACCTCAAAGCCAACATCGCCACGTTAATGGGAAAAACAAAAAACAAAAAACCCCAAACCAACCAACCAAACAAAACTTTAGGAAAAGATGAGGGGAAACCAATTTTCCACTCAGTTTTTTTCCAATCCAAGGGAGCTTTATCTCAAGTTCAAGATATGAGGGAACAGTCCTTTCCATTCTAAATGGAATCTAGGTCACATCTTCTGCACGATCTTTTCCTCTGCAAGTCCCACCTTCAATGACCTCCCATAGCACTATCGTGAGCTGTCTGTCAGATGCAGCTCACCGAGGGCAAGGTGTTGGTCTCACAGGAGTCATCTCAAATGTCAGCTCTGGGAAGCAGAACAGGAACGGACTGGACGGGTGAGAGGGTGGGTGGGACGCAGAGGGCACTCAGTGGATAGCACCGTCTTCTGAAAGAACAGCTCTGGCCTGGACCTGATCACTGACTTATCTTTCAGCATGGCTGGGAAGAAACGGATGGGCCTCTTGCACACACGAAAGGTTGTACAAGAGGATGCACACAGCTAAGGAGGTGGTCCATCAGGACCCGCTGCTGCTTCAGACGCCTATTGTTGCCACCCACCAAGATCATTCATCAACACCACAGAGACCCACTTCTTGGCCCAATGTCGCTTCCTGTCGCCTCCTGGCAAAGTGGGGTTTAAACAAAGGTGCACAATATGTGAAGGATACCTAGGTCTCTCCAAGCAATAGTGTCTTATGGTAAGGTATGGTCCATGGCTACTTCAGGTCATTCCATCCGCATTTCCATCTGCCTCCTTACCACGCATCCTTCACCTTGGCACTGGGTGAAGACAGGAACTCCTGTCTTCACCCAGTGCCAAGGTACTGAGGGGCCGGGGGAGTCCCTCTCTGGCCTTGGCCTATGCTCTGTGTCTGCCACTGCTGGGACTAGAAGCCTGCAATTGTACATGTTCTGGACTGGACACACCTGGTGAGTGGTACTCTCGAGTTTTAAAGAAGTAGACTCTGTCTGATGCGTGGCTGATCTCAGAAGCCAGCATCTTCTCTGGGACAGGAACTCAGAACTTCATACTAGCTTTCTGCAGCTGAACACACTGGGCTGATGGGAAAATACAGTGTGAAATGATAATCCCCTTTGAGGACTGTGACCAAAATCAGGGCTGAGTTGGGGGAGACCTGTGGGCCAACACTGACCCTGCCCATGACAGTATTTACAACATTTTACCTTGGGGACAAAGGTTCTGAGCTGGCTGGATTTGGGGCAGAGGTCAGCTGGTACAGAGAGGACACAAAACAACCGGAGTTACAGTGGTACACGTCTCCACAGGGCTCCAGCTGTAAACCAGCAAGAGTGACTTCGGCTGTGACTTCAAAGAGCGTTTAAAGGAGGGGGAGGGAATTGTGATATTTAAGAACAGTAGTTCTCTCCGAGGTGTGGGGACCTCGAGGGGGAGTTGTGGGGTCCAAAGTGTCTTCACAGCTGTCCTCTCCCAGTATGTAGGGCCATCTGGATGCCCAACCTGCCAACATCACAGGTAAGAGGCAAGAGCTAGTCTGAGAAAGTGGTTGTTTCCTGCCATCCAGTCAGAACACAAAGATACTTGGAGGAGATCTGCAAAGGTGGAGAACACAGCCTTTCTCAGATGGAAATCTACTGGGGAGGGGATTTAGAGTTATTTTATAATACATTAAATGATTATTAGTTTTTTTCTAATATGCTAAATGTACATATATTTTAAAAATCATTTTAAAAAGGCCCCAACGATCCTGAATATTCTTAAACAGGGCAGTGGGCTCTAGAAGAATCCATGGTCTCAAGGGTTAAGTTGGGCCCTTAAGTGCAGGTCAAGCTATGCAGGGGTTAGCACTCATGAAGAGAAATGCTCTCTAGCCTGTTCCGTCTGGTTCTGGTGCCCCAGACACAAGCTCTGACTCATTTCATAGACGGGTTATACCATTAGCCTTTGGAAATCAACCTCTGCCTCAAGGAGGAGCCAGGAAGCACTAGGGGGGGGTCTCACCTCTAAGTTGCATTCCCAGGAGGTGAGGTAGGACAGCCTTGAAGCTCTGCTGGGTGCATGTGTACTTACCTTCCAGCCCCCTGAACATACTTAACAAAAGAATTATGCCTAAGACTTTAAGCACAAACTTCAGGAAGCCTACAGAGAAATGATTAAGCTGTGACTGTCCGGGTGTGAATGTGAATAATTATACGTTAACACCCTCTACCACTCAAATAATTGTCATTCAGCTCAACAGCTGAAGGACTGACTTTGGAACAGGGGTTAATGGCGTCAGAACAATAGCAGAAATACAGAGAAATACACCGTGTAAAATAGTCTGAGAGGTCAGAGGACAAGGGGGAGATGGTATTAGAGAGGGCTGACTTGGGGTCAGTACCATATTACCGAGGTTAATCATAAAAAAAGAAGATGAAACCAAATCTAAGGTTTCTTGCTGTAATGCCATTTGATGTCCTGACCCCACACAAACCTCTCTGGAGGTTCTTTCCCTTCCTCAGAACCCCATAGGCTCTGCAGATGGACGATGCTTCCTTTGAACTCTGAACTGGCCACTCTGGAGGAGGAACACAGTCACTGGTCCACACACAGAAGCAATGTCCCCGTCACCCCCCAACCAGAGCAACCTTCCACAGAACATCTGATTCAGAACACACTATCAACATTTCCTACCTCCAAGATTCTTAGCGTCCCCATAGACAATGGCCACCATCAAATCATCCCGTGCTTTGGGGGGTTTCAGTGTGTTCCAAAGATGGGCACTGGATAGCTAGTGTCAGACCCATGCTATTTCCCAGTAAATACCTAAAGGTTCCTGAACACACCAGTGACAATGAGTGAGGCTGAGGCAGGAGGACCTTGAATTTGATGTCAATCTCGGCTAGACTAATAGCTTGTTTTAAAAACCAAAAAGAAAAAATGCTAACTTAAAAATCATGTAAATGATCCCCACCCATACAAAAAAATCTGTATGCAACTCCTCCCCTTCAGTTTCATGCATTCTATCTGCAAACTCTAGAAGCTTCTCTGACCTTGACTCCTGCTTCCCTGGGGAGGAGAAATTGCACCTCAAGCCTCAGAAGAAGGTTCTTCCACACTGGGACAGTGTTTGACCTGCCCTCCTGGCCCCAAACCCAGACACCTCCCAGTCCATGTCACCCAACTTAATTTCCAGGACACTGACAACCCCAGAGAGGGAGGATGAGTGTCTGGAATGGCCCTGAGGTATGCTGAATAATTTTTCATTGATAATCATGCCGCCGTCGCCATGAGCTAACTTTTGAAGACCAACCCAATGGAAAGGAGCCGGGCCCTTAATTTCTTAATGAATTATTCTTCACCGTAGGATGGGGATTACGCCACGGAGCAGGCATCTCATTACTGACAGAGCTGTCAGAAGGACAGGCGAAAGGAAAACTGGCAGCTCTAATTTCTCTGCAGAGAAATGAGGGGCTCTTTGGGGATTAATCTCAGTACCAACATTGAGCCTCTGCCTCGGGGCAGCTGAGGAATTCAAAAGAAGTTGTGACTGAATTCTGAGCGATGGAAGTGAGCTCAAATGGGGCAGCAGACTTTGGTTTCTCACCTATTCAAATGAGGCAGAGGCTGGGCAGGTGTGGTGGGGGAGCGCACAGGGCAGGTAGCTAGCAGGGTGGCAGGCGGCTGGCAGGGGGCTACACCTGTTCTGAAGAAAGGCCCCCATACAGAGGAGCCTGGCACACACGGTGACTGGGTTTGGGTCCCTTCACCTCCTTGCAGGGATGGGGTGTAAAGGCCATGTGTGTCGGTGACACTCTGGTCCCTTAGCTTTTCCACTAGGCATCATATCCCTTCCCCAAGCTAGCCTTTATCAGGGAGGAGGAAGATTCAGAGGCTGGACTTCTTCCTGTGCCTGAGGATGGCATCCTCCATTCCGTGGGGTCCTGTGGTTGTTGGAAGTAGCTCACTGCTACTGCTAGAGAGAAATGGCCCCTCCCCCGCAGAGGCAAGGGGGCTTTATGAATGTATTTCTCACTATCACGTATCAATAAACATTCACGAAGCAGCCCCTGGATATCGACATCTGGTATGTTTGTTTCTGCTCTTACAGAGCTGAGGAGGAGTCGGGCTTGAGCTCCCATAGCTCAGTGTGCTAAGACCAGGGAAGTAAGAGTTCAGGGATGGTGGGCGGGGTGAGACCGGGGATAGTGCTTCTAAGCAGGTGGTCTTGGTGCAGGGTTCTGCAGGAAGTGGTACTGGGAGGGTTAAGGGACCAGGGAGTCAGGTGAGGGGAGTAGGTGAGATCTGAGGGAATGGAGGTTCTGGCATTTATTCTGGCTATCACATAGCCAGGAGGCAATAAGAGACTAGGGTGGGAGGGGCTGACATTCTTATGCTCAGATGAGGAAGCAGGTTGAATACACAACCATGGTGACCACTGTTACTAGGGAAGTGTGCTATGAGAGCTCAGAATTGCGGGGTCCACTGTTTTGTCCCGTCTCCCCCAGCAGAACCATAATAAGATCAGCTAGTGGCCCCACTCACCCTAAGGCCTTCCCAGGACCACCTCTGGATGCTCCAATTGAGCTAGCTTACCCAGCAGGCTCCCATTCAGCCTCTTCCATCCCATTTTTATGGGTCTCCCCATCTTGTTCATGGCACTCACTCAGTCTATCTCTGTCTTCAGTATCGGGTGACTATGGGAACTCCCAACTGCTACAGTGTGGCTCTGCAGTGTGTCCCCAAAGGCCCCTGTGTTGAAGTCTTAGTCCCCAGTCTATGGCACTACAGGGAGTTGATTGTAGCTTTAACATGTGGGGTCTTTAGCAGATGGAACTTAAGTCATTGGGGAATGTCCCTGGAGGTGATAATGGGGCACAGCCACTTCTCTCTCCTCTCTCTGCTATCTGGACCCTCCTTCCATGTTCTCTGTTACTATAGGCCAAGTGACCATGGAATGATAACTCTGCCTTTGAGCTAAATGCATCTTTCCTCCTCCGTCATCTCCAGGATGTGTTCCAGTGTCAGGAAGCTGACTCACACAGCAGCTCCATGCCAGTCCTGGCCCAATCCCCTCCAGTGTCAGAAGTCCAAGGTAGCCCACTAACCAAGCCCGAGCCTGGGAGCAGGTGAGTGAGGCAAATATACTTCTGTCCACACACTGGTTCTGTGCAGAGAAGTGGGTTTCAACATAAGACATGGGGGTGGGAGAATGACCCCCAAAATATAGTAAGCCAAGTGAAGTCCTGGGAATGTCCAAGGAGTCCTATGTCCTTGGTCTTTGCAACGTAGGTTGGGGTGGTTACAGTATCTCCTTACCATGACGGGAAAAGCTAGATGGATGAGAAATATGGGTGTAGGGGGCAGGCCAACTTGGACATCTGCACCAAGTAAACATATGGCCAGCTCCATGAACCCACAGGCAATAGACAGAAGCAGGCAGATAGCCAAATGTGACCCTTTCAAAAGGTCCAAGGTTGTGCTGGAGCAAGAAGCATAGTACACACACACACACACACACACACACGCACGCACGCACGCACGCACGCACGCACGCACGCACGCACCCACACCCACACATGCACACACATACATACGTGCGCATGCACACACAGCACAAGTAGGAGAGATAAATCGGGAAACACTGGGCAAATGGTCTTTTGAAAGCCAGGAATACGTGGACTCAACAATCAGATTAAGGGATCTCCATGTTCCACAAGAGCAGGCTAGGAAAATACTAAGACACGGCCACACGGCCACCAGTAAACGGCCTTACTTGCTTAACTCAACAGCTACTGCCACTGAACCGGCACCAGAACAGGGCGGGCACCTGAGGATGTGGACTCTGGGTCCTCTGACAGAAGCAGTGTCTGGAGGGAATGCCGGGGAGCAGGACAAAGTGATATAGTGACATGGTCACATACCCCTTACCCAGCCCCCTGGTAAACAGAACAGGCTACAGAGAGCAAAGGCCTGGCCTGGCTTCCTCTTCCTCACCTGAGATCAGCCCAGACTCCTGAGTAGATGCAGAAGGCCCACTGCTAATTGACTGGCCCAGGTACAGATCCAGTATATGCTCAGCATCTCCACTGTGCACCCCAGGCACCTCACCTTTTCACAGTTCCACAGAACCCTAACCTTGACCTCCCCGACTCTTTAAATTTCGGCCCCCACACTGGCAGCACAGATGTCCTGTTGCAGAGCAGGAGGCCACACCACACTCAGACTCCTCTTGCCTTTTCTGCAAGTCCCCTGGGTACCCCTTGTTTCCTGGCCAGTGTCCTGACATCTCTGGCACCTTCTGCTCCTTTTTCACAGTCCACAGTGCCCACAGCATATACCTGGCAATCAGTATATATCTGATAATCACATGCCACCGACTCGTAGGCTAGTGCACCCGGGATGCACTCTCCAAATGCTCTGCCCTCTCGTCCTCTCAAAGGCTTGATGGTAGCTGTCCCATGTGAGTCATCTCTAGAAGTCATTTTACTTTCTTGAACACTTGTACTCACTTGCCCTCTGCCTGGAACTCTCCCCTCCTGGATTTTAGTGTGGCTATGGGCACCACACCTTCACTTCCTTCTGCTTTTGGTCTCCACGCCATCTCTGTCAGGGCTCTGGCCCTAAAATCTAGCTGCCCATTCTACTGGACACCTACTTGCTTTCTTGAGGGTCTTTTGTACTGTTGGTGGTGTTAGCATACATGTGTTGATGACTGCCAGCGTGCTTGGCCAACTCTTCTCTGTGCCCGTGACAGCAGGGTTGGTAGCAGAGGTTTTCAAGACATAGCTCTTCTACAAGTGACTCTGACAAACATGGCCATGCCACATGGGCTTCGGTTAATGTCAACATCCTTTTCTGCCATCCATATCTTCAACAGTGCAGCTGGAAGGGACAGTGGTGTGCCATGCTGAGAGCTGGAAACAGCTGCATCATTACTTGGGTATTGAAAGGTCATGTACATCATCTTTCCCCCATTTGATATCTAGAAAGAGAGCTTTGCGCAGTGGCAGTATCATAGCCAATGAGGTTTATCCGAGGCGCGATTATTGCTAATTGATATCTAGAAAGAGAAGTCCGTAGCGTTCACTTCAAACACCTAGAAGAACCGAGTCTTCCAATGAGTCTGTGTACACCTACCACACCCGACTGCACAGTAGTACTTGTACTTGTTATACCTCACTTTGGTCACTGGTCTACCTGTCTACCCATCTTGAAATTTTACCACGTTTCAAAAATCAACAGAAGATATCAGTTACTCTCAAGTCAGCTCATATGCCATTAATTAAGAGTTCAATGTCAATTTAGCTCTTTTTCTCCTTTGAGGTAGCATTTGTATACAAGGAAACACACATCTTCAGTGTATTCCTGATGAGTTTTGACAAATACATGAACCTGTGTAGTCCACGTTGTTAAAAGTTATGCTGGGACATCCCTCAGGCCTCCTTCACAGGCAGTTGCTGTCTGCACACCCCAGAGGCAGTTACACTTTTTCCTTCTGCCCCTGATCACCTTGTACTAATTGGAAAACTTCATTCCATGAGTTTAAAACCAGACATGCTCTCTATGCCTGGCTCCTAGGCAGCACACCACCAAGACAAGCTGGTGTGGAATGCAGCTGCAGTTCATGCTTTCCTATCCCTGAGCCTGCAAACAAGGATTAGATCTCTGGGAGTTTATCTCCATTAATCCAGATTCTCTCACAAATGGACACCGGGCTATCCACTTGTTGATAATTACAAGGAACGCTACTGTGAACAGCTTTCATACATTTTCTAAGAGCGAGAACACGGGGTAATAAGGCATGAGAGCATACCTTTTCCTACAGATGTTCCCCCACTTACACCCACCAACGTTCATGGCAGGAGGGTTCCACATCCTCACAGACATCTGGTATTGTGAGCTTTCATCTCAGCCATCTGGGCCTAGGCAGACATCTTTCATAATGGCTTTAATTTGGATTTCACCAAACACACTCAACAATTTCATGTGCCTCCAGGCCAATCTGGACATACTGCTTTGTGAAGACAATGTCCTCTGCTTATATCTTGATAGGGGATACCCCTGAATCTTCACACACCCTCCCTATAAAACTCTTAGATAGATGTTCTGTAAAAATTTATCTCCCTCTGTGTCCTGCCCATTCACTTTCTTAGTAGTCTTTTACTTGCAACAATACTGGCAATTTCTTTCATGGCTTTATCTTCTGGAGATATGAAACACCTGCCTGGCCAAATCACAGAATTATTCATGCTTTTTCTTACAGCCATATGATTTCAACCTTATCTTTAAATATATCTTAAAGTTTATATTAATTTTTGTATTTGGTGTGAGGCAGGAATTATGCTAGGTACACTTTTGAAGAAGGTCATCCAGTTACTTAATCACTGTTGAGATGTCTGTTTTCCACCTTGAATATAAAATAACTGAAATAATTATATTTTAATTCACACACACACACACACACACACACACACACACACACACACACACACACACACACACTCTTGCTTTATGAGTGCTGTTTCTGTGGAGGCCAGAAGATGGTATCAGAGTCCCTGGACCGGGGTTAACAGGTGTTGGTTTTGAGCTGCCTGACATGAGTTCTGGGAACCAAACTCGGATCCTCTGCCATGGCAGTGTGTATTCTTAACTGCTAAGCCATCTCTCCAGCCCTCATGGGTCGCTGTTCTGACTTTGGATTCCTATCACAGTGTCTTGAGCACCATAATTTAAAGGAAGTTTAAGAATCAGGTAATGTGAGTCCTCCAACTTCACTTTTCCTCTGTCTGTCTGTCCATTCTTTTATAATTTCATACACACATATGATATTCTTTGAGGTCCCAGGGGAAGAGAAATCATAGTCCTCATTTTTCCAAGATTTCTTTAGATAGTCTAGGCTCTTCACAAGTAGTACTGGTGTCAGCTGGGGATTTCAAAGCCTGGTGGAGCTGAGCAATGAGAACAGTGTATGGAGAACCGACCTCTTTGCAACATTGGCAGTTTCGGGGATAAGGTACATCCATTTATCTTCTTAGTCTTGTTTATATAGTTCAGTGGAGAAGTGTTCCATATATTTCATTAATGCCAACTACTTTACACAGGACAATATTATAATTATTTTCAAGTTGTTATTAATACCCACCATACAATAATACAACTTATTCTTGTATATAGCACCTTGTTGAATTACCTTATTTAATGTTTTCAAAATTCTTTGAAATAGTCAATATAAGTATATTACCTAAAAATAAAGACAGCTACATTTAATTCTTTCTGATATATACTTCTCTTTCAGTTTTATATAGTATTACTTCTTTTACATTTTAGTGTATGTATGCATGTTCATGCAAGTGTAACCGTGTGTAGGCAGGTACACATATATGTACATGTATACATAGAGAGGCCAGAGGTCAACTTTGGGTATCCTTCTCAGTCACTCTCCACCTTAGTTTCTGAGACAGAATCTCTCACTGAACTTGGGGTTCACTGATTGGCCAGGTTGGCTAGCCAGAAAGCTCCAGGGGTCTTCTTGTCTCTACCTCTCCAGTTTTGGGATTATTGATGCACACTGTAGTACCTGGCTTTTTATAGCTGAGGGAGGGCAGGCAGTCGGTCCTCATGCTTGTGTGGCAAAGAATTTACCAACTGATATCTCCTCAGCCTTTCTTTCTTTTAAAGTATCTATGCCTTACAGAATATATTTAGTAGAGTCTTTTTTTAAGACAAGTCTGTTCATCTATGCCATTTTACTTGAATCTTAAGAACATTTACATTTAATGTAATTATTGACATTGTTGGATTAGAGTCTTCCAACTCATTATTTCTCCCATCTGCTCTTTTCTTCCATTCCTTGGTTTTCTTTTGGGTTTGTTTTTAAAATAAGCATCTCATTTCGAGCTATACATCTTGCTTTTCAGTGGCAGTCTAGTATTGTTAACATGCATCATGATTTATCACAGCCTATCCTTAAATAACGTCCCACTTGCTCACAAGAACATAGGAAACATATCACAATGCGTTTCCAGTCCCCAGTCCTATCTCCCGTGCTACTGTTGCTATGTATTTTACTTCTACATATATTATAAAACCCCAAATAGGGAGTAATACAAAATAAATTTTACTGTGAGTAGTTGATTATTTTAAAAATAAGAATGCTGAGAAAATATTCACTACCCTTGCCTATATATTTTCTGGGTCTAGTTATATTCAGTGTTCTGGGAATGCTCAGCAGTCAGCTTCCCAGTCTCTCTGCTTCTGGCTTCCAAACACACTCGCGACCGTATTCTGCATTAGGCTCAAGGGGCCCCCAGACTCCTGGAATTCCTCCTCTGCACAGCTCCCTCTTCTCCAGCCCTCTGTCCACAGATGGCAGTCAGCTGGGACACTAGACACAGGACGACAATAGATGCAGCAGCCACAGCAGCAGTTCTAAAGGCAAAACCTGAGAAAAACCCACATGTCCACTAACTGTGGACAGGGTAAAAACAGTGGGCATTTGTAACACGGGATTCTCCACAGTAGCTTAAGAGATGGATGGTCTTTGCAAGACTCCAAATACCTGTTCTCATAAACACACTACTTGAAAGAAGCAACCCGGGAAGACACTGATATTCTATTCCTTTAAATGATAAGCAAGGTGTTGGAAAGGGGTGGGGGAGACAGGGCTGGGGCAGACCTCTGTAATGCTGGCTGGTGCATGCGCTTTGTTTGCCCTTTGGTGTTTATACTTCCCATACCCACCTGAACACTCTTTGGTCTGAGGTAATGTTTCACGGTAAAATAACGGAAGCATCGACCTCCCACCCACATGCTCTAGAACCGCTCTAGCAAAGCTCCTGCCCCTGATGCTCCCTCTCCTGACAAATGACTCAGCAGTCATGTGACCTCTTCCCTCCTTGTTCAGAACAAGAGTGGGACACAGAAGCAACACTGATAACAAAGCTGGTGCCTACACCCTGGGGGCCAAGGGGGCCGGAGGCCTTCTGTGCACTCATCCCCTGGGGACATTACCTAGTGATCTGGGAGAGGGCTGTACCTTGTGCTGTTCACTGCCAGGTTTACAGCTTCTGCCATGAGCCAGACATGGGGCTGTGTGCTTGGATAGGTAGGAGACCATTCCAAGTGGACTCCAGGCACACAGGCGGTGGGCAGACTCCTGGGTCACAGAGCAACAGACAGCACAATGGCTGAGTGAGGTAATGCTCAGTTGAGAATTATGTGTCCCTCGTCACTGCTTCTCCCAACTCATTCTGTCTAGTACACACTGAAGAATGTCTGGATACTGGGGAATCACCTATGAGGAGGATGTGATAGAGCAAAAGTCAGGAGCAGTGGAAACATCCACAGGTTGGATGAGTCGAGGCCCCTGGAGGGTCGAGGGAGAATGATCTGAAAGTGGAGAAAGATTTGAGTACATGCTGAGCTGGAGGACCCAGCCCCAGCCCCAGTCATTCCTTCTGGGGCCTGCCTAAGGGGGTATGTTCTGTCATTTAGAGACCTCATCCTGGAGCCCAGCAGTTCCTTCAAACAGCCACTTCAACTTTGTATTACATTTTAAAGTTGTGTATGCATCTGTGCACATGTATGTGGGCATGCCATGGCATGCGTGTGGAAGTCAGATGCCAACCTGAAGGAGGTGCTTCTCTCCTTCCACCATGTTGTCTCAGGCATCTAACTCAGGTCACCAAGCGTGGCAGCACCAACATGTGCCTGCCAAATCATCTCCCAGGCAGATGAAGAATCATTTACTATGACCTACGACTTCACAGTGTACGGGGAGATGGAATTATAGGTGGCAGGTATCCTTTTTCCGGTGAAAGTCATAACTGTTGCCAGCACTCATGTACAGGAGACACTACAGACCCCAGTGCTGTCTGGACAGCTGCGGGGTTGTGGCAGCCACATCCCCCATAGCCAGCAACACACAGCAAACACAGAGGAGACTCAGGGAAGCGCACTGGAGGCACAGAACGGCCTCTCCGCATAGAGACTGAGTCTCCTCTGAGCTCCAGACCATGGAGACCTTGGTGCTGAGCGTCACTCTTCACTGTGTGGGTACTGGGAAGGACACATCTAGGTCATTAGCAGGTGGCTCTTGTGCTGGGTCATGGCAGCTTTCTACAGCACAACTATGGTCACCACTTCAGATGTCAGTGACTCGGGAGGTGTTAGGGCCTGAAGGAGAACCAACTCAAGCCCCTCCCCCAGGACCTCAGTGCACAACACATTTGGAGAGGGCCTTTTGTGAAGTGACGACGTTCGGAGGATTCTTACAGTGGGCTCTAATCCGATTTGACTGGTATCCTTAGGAAGTCAGAGAGATGATACTAGAGATGAGAAAAGATGACAGAAAGATGGCGGCGGGACAGCTTGCCACTCAAAGGCTGGGGCCTTGGAAGAAACCAACCCCACTGACATCTTGATCCGGAGCTTTCAGCCTCCAAACTCTGAGAAAATTGGTATATCAATCCACCTAGTCTGTAGCATTTTATTATGGCAGTCCAGAGGATGGAGAGGTTGCCTGGGGTCATCAGAAGGTCAGGGACAATGAAGGCACTGTCACCACACTCACACCATACGGCCACACCAATGGGTACAACTCCCAAGAGCTTTGCTGACAAGGTCCTGGGCAGAGGTGATGTGCTCAGCTCCCAGATATCTTGACAGGTACCTGCTAGCAGAGGTTAAAAAAAGGGGGTGGTGGTGGTGCTGTTCCCGGGCTTTTCCTCAAGGGCCAGGTTGCATCTACTTCAAGACAAGACAGGAAGTAACAGTGGAGGACTGCAGCTGCTCAGAGGTAGTGGCTCTGACAGATGTGTGAGCCTGTCTGGGGAGGACCAACAAATGCCTACTCACCCCAGATAGGCCACCAACAACAGGCCAGAGAGAGGACCTCACTCTAGTCGAGTTTGGTGAACCAATGAACCAATGAACTAGTTATGAGCTAGTTACGAGTGATTGCATTGCCGAGGAAACCGTCTCTGTCCGTCACCACTAACTGTTTATATCCTCTGGCCAGGGCGGGCTTCCTTGCTAGCAACCATGTCCTGCCTCTAGATCCTTAGGGGAGGAGGGGGGCTTGGTGAGCTCTTCCCTGCTGCATGATGGAACACAAAGGGACCAGGTCTTGGGCAGGTTTTCTACTGAACATTCAAGATGGCGATGGCCACGTCATGCCTTGAGGGCAACGTTCTATGACGGGGCAGAAGTGTCCCCTGCTGCACTGCGCTTGGCAGTGCCCCCTTTTCCACTCCCGCAGCCCTAGCTTCAACATCATGAAGCAGAACTCTAGCATCAGAGGGTTACACAGAGCAGGGACCGCGCAACCCTGAGAGCCCCTCCCTCACCTTGGGAGCCGCCTCACCTCATAGTCAGAGTCAAAAGCTCCTGTGGACGGGGTGCTGCTAGAGCAGAACAGGAGGCTACTCCGGCCTTGTACTTCTGTGCTTTGCAGAAGCCGCAAGTGTTGGCCTTGAGGCTGACGCGTCATCCCGCAGGCCAACCTTAAGTCAAGTGTTACTGTGTGGG